CCCCCCCCCCAGCAATGGGGCCTTCTTGGGATCCCCGCCCGGGCACAGCCTCCCTGCCCCCCAGGGCCTGGCACTCCCCAAGGACAGGGATGCTGCCATGGGAGACGCCTGTCTCCTTCCCCCTCCACCCCAGCAGGACCCCACCCGCCCAGGCTGCCCTGGCTTCCTGGATGGAAGAGTCCCGGGTCGCAGCCCCACAGGGCTGAGAGGATGGGAAGATGCGTCTGGGTTAACTGGCTCCAGTGTGGTGCCCAAGTGCCATGAGATTAACCCCCTGAACAGACGGCCAGGGGTAGCGGTGAGCTTGGAGTCTCCAAATGCAGCCTGGCTGCCTTCCTGGAGGCCCCGTTCAGGTGTGTGGGATGTATCCCTCACGCACTGTCCGGGGGCTCCCGTGGGCCAGGTCCGCTTGGTCCCCCCGGCCCCAGTCCAAAAGCTGAAGGGAAAAGTGACATTGTTATGAAATATCCTCAGGTAAAACCAAAGCAACCTCTGGTCAAGCGTGAGGCCGGACGGGGCCATGGGACCAGCTCATCCGGCCTGGCACGTGGAGTGGAAAGTGGGGAGGTTTGGACTGGCCTTAACTCCCTGGGGCTGGACATTTCCCAGCCTGGGACAGTCCCCGAGAGCTCGGCTGCCAGTGTACCTGCGGCCCTGGATGCTGCTCCCTGGAGATTCCCCAGGCTCTGACGCTGTTATTTCTCGACAGGCGTCTCCCAGCCTCTGTAGGGTGGCTGCCTTGGTGGCACATCGGGGAGCAGCTCGGTGAGTCCCTTCTCTTCGTGAATGCGTGGCACCGAATGCGTGGCACTGCTGGCTGGGGAGAGGGGCCCTGTCTCAGGTGGCCAAGGGCAACCCGAGGGGCTCCCTCACTGGGAGGAGCTGGGGGCTGTGGAGCAATACAGTGACAGCCTTTTGCCAGAGACGCAGAATCTAGAACCGTTGTGTCCAGAGAGATCGGGGCTTGGAAATGGGGCCGGGGCCATGAGGATCCAGTTTAGACCCTGACCTCTCCCATCTCCTTCCCCTGTACCAGACTGCCCTCAACTCCCGGATGGAGCGCGGGGAGGAGCTGCGGGTTCCGGATTCCCAGGGCCGTGAGGAAGGAGAGATGCCACGTGATGTCAGTCCAGGTGAGGAAGGGGTTAACCCAGCTCTGGCACGGAATGGCCCCAAAGCTGCTGCAAAGCTCCCAGCATGACCCATCTGTATTCACCTGGCCTGAGATACAGCCCCACTAGCCCTGGGGGAACCCCCCCCCCCCCGTGTTGTCTCTGGGGCTCAGCCAGGATATGGGGCAGAACTGGCCCCTCTGCCCTCCCCTGGGGTGGGTTTGGGGGGGTCAGACCCTGGTTCCCAGCCCTACAAACAGAGGTTTATTAGTGACACGCACCCCCACCCGCAGGGTCCCTTTGCCCCGGTGCAGGGAGCTACTCACATCTGTGTCTCAGCAGATGATCAGGCGAGCGAGGCAGGGGCTGCCCAGGTGGATGGGGCACCCAAAGGAGCCCAGCTGGACATTTGCCAGCGCTCGGAGCGGGTCAGGAGCCTGCGCCGGTCAGGAAGGAGAAGCGGTGCTGGGCAGCAGCCGGAGACCCCCACCAAGCCCGTCCCCCAGCCCCGAGGAGCTCAGCAGCGCTACGTGTGTGCCGAATGCGGCCGCGGCTTCGCCGTGAGCGCCCGCCTAGTGAAGCACGAGCGGACCCACACCGGGGAGCGCCCCTTTGCCTGTGCCGAGTGTGGCAAGCGCTTCACCCAGAACGCCAACCTGGTGCAGCACCGCCGCACCCACACCGGGGAGCGCCCCTTCCGCTGCGGCGACTGTGACCGGCGCTTTGGCACCAAAGCCGACCTGGCCCGGCACCGCCAGTCCCACACCGGGGAGCGCCCCTTCCGCTGCGCCGAGTGCGGCCGGGGCTTCAGCCAGAGCTCCAACCTGCTGCGCCACCAGCGCTCCCACACTGGCGAGCGCCCCTTCGCCTGCCAGGACTGCGGGGCTGCCTTCGCCCGCAACGCCCACCTGGCGGCCCACTGCCGCACCCATACTGGCGAGCGCCCCTTCCGCTGCGGGCAGTGCCGGGAGCGCTTCGCCCAGGCCACCGCACTGATCCAGCACCGCCGGCTGCACACAGGCGAGCGCCCCTTCGAGTGCTCCGACTGCGGCAAGGGCTTCACCCGGGCCGCCACCCTGCAGCATCATCAGCGCCTGCACGCCGGCCAGCGCCCCTTCCCCTGCCGGGACTGCGGGGCCACCTTCGCTGCCCATGCCACCCTCCGCCAGCACCGCCGCAGGCACTCCGGGGAGGCGCCCTTCCGCTGCGCTGAGTGTGGGCGCTGCTTCGCCGTCAGCTCCGCACTGCTCCGGCACCAGCACGTCCACACTGGGGAGCGGCCCTTCACCTGCCACGAGTGCGGCGCCGGCTTCAGCCAGAGCTCGGCGCTCGTCCGCCACCAGAGACTCCATGACTAGTGCCTGGTGCTCCCGGGCCCGGCAGCAGCAAGCCAGCGCGTGACCCCTGGCGGGAGGGGGAGGTTCTGGGCCCTGGTGGGAGAAGGGTGCCACAGGGGGCCCCCTGCGAGTGGGTGAGGGGAAGGTGGTCTGCAGAGGTGGGTTAATTCAGCTGGAATAAATGAGCCCACAGGGTCTGCGGTGTTAACGGGACCCCATCGCTGCCCAGTGCTAAGCAGTTCCACTCGGTTCGGGATTTCCGTCCAAAGACCCCGGCTTGCTGAGCCCATGGCTGATGTCCCAGCGAACATCTACTTAGCCTTCGATTAAAGCTACCGAAAAGAGCGCTAACCAGTTGTCGCCTTTGAAACATAAAGTATTCATTCTGGCTTTCAGTTCACAGCGGGTGCTCATGAGAATGGGGTGACAGGAGGTGCCCGAGGGAAGGGGTGACAGGAGGTGCCCAGGAGAATGGGGTGACAGCGGGAGCCCAGGGGAATGGGCTGAGCGAGCCGCTGTTGGGTTGTTGAAGCGCAGCTGAATGATTAAATTTGTCCCAAACCTACCTCGCCCTTGTTAAAGGGATTGGAACCAACAGAAGGCAAAAAGGAATTGAATTGTCATGGAGTCAGGGTCAGGTCCGGGGGGGTGTCTAGGCCCGATGCTATTCAGTATCTTCATCAATACTCAGCTAAGGGGTGCCCCAGGCCCCCCCACAGACTTCAGGGGAGGGGGGGTTGTACATGCAATGCCCATCGCCCCGCCCCCCCAATCTGGTCTCTGCCCCAACTTCCTTAATGCTTGGGGAGGTCCCCTCCCTGCCTCCCACAGGGAGCCTCTCCTGCCTACCCGGTCCCACAGGTGGCATTCGCTCCCCCTCATCCTAACCCTTGGGACTATTTCCCCATTGGCTCCGTGCTCCCAGCTCCAGGGCCCACTCTGCTGACGGGTTCCAGGCCACCGCTGCTCTGGGTAAGTTTTAACCAGTAACACCCCAGTCACGTCTGCTCTAACAACAGCAGGAGGTGACCGGTGCCAGCTGCTTGGTCAGCACCCCCTAGTCCAGGGCCAGAGAGCATTTGGGAATGAGGAATTGTCCCACAGGCAGAGGTACCGCTACCCAGTGCGGGACTGTGCACAGGGTCCGGGCACAAGCCAGTGAGGGAGCCCCCACAGTGAGCGGGCCCAGGGGCCCCAGCAGCCAAGGCCATTATAATGCTGTAGCAGGCGCTCTCCAGCGGGCCCTGGAGCCCGACATGAGCCAGGGCTGGTCTGCGGAGGAGACATGAGTGCTAGAGGGGCTGCCAGGCACTAGCTCAGCGTATCTGACGCCCTCAGCTCCCAAATTCCACCCTACAGCTGCGCAGCCCCAGGACCCCGGCAATCCCAGACCCGGGGCGGCAGCAGCACCACCGTGCTGTTCCTGTGGCTGTGGGAGAACCCAACCCTGGTTCTGACCCCTTGGCTTCCCACAGGAGCAGAGACACTCACCGCTCCACGCACTGCCCCTCCCATGTGCTGCCCCAGCCCGGGTGTAGCCCCGAGACCAGAGTGGCAGGGCCTGCTGGAAGCTGGGGCTCCTAAAGGGGGACTAGACCCCATCGCAGCAGGTGCTGGGAGCCTGACGCCCCCTGGGTATCCCAGTCCTGGGTGAGTAGCTGCATTCTAGCAGGGGTTACGGGCTGCACCGCGACAGAATTGTTCCCCCTCAGGAACGGCTGCGTGAGCACGCTGGCCTCCCCCCCAATGGAGAGGCTCACACAGGACATGCGGGTCAGGCTGTTTTGCTCTCACAGCAGGGCCTTGGCCCTTGCCCTGCCCCCGAACAGCTGCAGAGAGAAGACACTTGTTTACAAGGGAGCATTTCCCCCTCTTCGAAACTGTTTATTGACAGAAAACACTACAGAATATGGCACAGAAAGTTCCCCCCTCTGTTCCCACCAGCCACTCCCACAAGGCCCCAGCCTCACCCAGCGCTCCCTTTCCCACCGCGTGCCGGAGAGAGGAGCCTGCCAGCTCCGCCGGTAGCGCTCGTGTGCCGTGGGCTCTGCTGGCACGCTCCGTGGGCTGTTTGTACCATGGCTCTGTGGGTACGGGGCGGCGTCCCCTTGGCTCCAGTGCTGTGCACAGCCTGTGCAGGGCCCGGGGACCGGCTCTATCTTGTGTGGATGCGGCGGTGTTTGCAGAGGTAGGACCGAAGGCTGAAGCGCTTGCCGCACAGCGCACACTCGTGGGGTTTGCCGGCTGCCACGGCATGGATGCGGCGGTGCTTGCAGAGGTACGAGCGCTGGCTGAAGCACTTGCCACACTGGGGGCACTGGTGGGGCTTCCCCGCCCCGTGGATCCGGCGGTGCTTCACCAGGTACGAGCTGCGGCTGAAGCACTTTTGGCACTCGGGACATTGGAAGAGATTCTCCTGCACCAAGGCCACGGGAGATGGGGGGGTCTCAGCCAGGCCTCCCCCTTGCTCAGTGATGACACATTGAGCCTCTCCAGCCTGGAGACTCTGCAGCGCAGCCAGCGCCAGGCTCTGGGCCATGGGACTCTCTGCTCCGTGGCAGGGCTCCCTGTGGACTGTCTGCACTGCACTCAGTGCCGGGCACTGCTCGGTGCCATGGCAGGGCTCCCCATGGACTGTCTGCACTGCACTCGGTGCCAGGCTCTGCTCGGTGCCGTGGCAGGGCTCCCCATGGACTGTCTGCACTGCATGCAGTGCCAGGCTCTGCTCGGTGCCGTGGCAGGGCTCCCCATGGACTGTCTGCACTGCATGCAGTGCCAGACTCTGCTCGGTGCCGTGGCAGGGCTCCCCGTGGACTGTCTGCACTGCACTCAGTGCCGGGCTCTGCTCGGTGCTGTGGCAGGGCTCCCCGTGGACTGTCTGCACTGCATGCAGTGCCGGGCTCTGCTCAGTACCGTGGCAGGGCTCCCCGTGGACTCCCTGCAGGGTAATCAGGGCTGAGCTCCCCTCTGCTCCATGGCAGGGCTCCCCGTGGACTCTCTGCAGCACAATCAGTTCCAGGCTCTGGGCCGCGGGTCCCTCAGTGCCGTAGCAGGGCTCTGCATGAATTCTCTGCAGCGCAAACACAGTTGGGCATTGTGCCACATTACCCTCTGCGCCGTGCCAGGGCTCCGCGTGCACCCTCTGCAAGGCAATCAGTGCCGGGTTCCCTTCTGGGCTGTGGCTGGGCTCCCCATGGATGCCCTGCAATGCATTCAGGGCTGGGCTCCATTCTTGTCCATGGCAGGGCTCCCCGTGGACTCCCTGCAGCGTAGTGAGCATGGGGCTCCACCCTGCTCCGTGGCCTGGCTCTGCGTGGACACCCTGCAGTGTAGTGAGCATTGGGGTCCACCCCGGTCCGTGGCCTGGCTCTGCATGAACACCCTGCAGCGTAGTGAGCACCGGGCTCCACCCTGCTCCGTGGCAGGGTTCCACATGGACACCCTGCAGTGTAGTTAGCACTGGGCTCCACCTTGCTCCATGGCCTGGCTCTCCGTGGACGCCCTGCAGTGTAGTGAGTACCGGGCTCCAGCCCACTCCGTGGCCCGGCTCTGCGTGGATGCCCTGCAGTGTAGTGAGCACCGGGCTCCACCCCGCTCCATGGCAGGGTTCTCCGTGGACTCCCTGAAGTGCAAACAAGGTTGGGCTCTGTGCCACATTGCCCTCCCCTCCATGGGCAGGCTCCGTGTGGCTTCTCTGCAGTGTAGTCAGCACTGGGCTCCACCCCGCCCCGTGGCAGGGCTCTGCATGGACTCCTTGCAGCGTAGTCAGAGCCCAGGTCCTCTCTGCTCCATTGCTGGGCTCCGCATGGACTCTCTGCCCCTCACTCAGCCCCGGGCTGTGCCCCACTCCATGGCCAGGCTCCACGTGGACTCCCTGCCCCTCACTCAGCCCCGGGCTCCGCCCCACTCCGTGGGCTGGCTCTGCATGGACTCCCAGCCCCTCATGCAGCCCCAGGCTCCGCCCCACTCTGTGGCCAGGCTCTGCGTGGATGCCCTGCAGTGTAGTGAGCACCGGGCTCCACCCCGCTCCATGACAGGGCTCTCCATGGACTCCCTGCAGTGCAAACAAAGTTGGGCTCTGTGCCACATTGCCCTCCCCTCCATGGGCAGGCTCTGTATGGCTTCTCTGCAGCGTACTCAGAGCCCAGGTCCTCTCTGTTCCATTGCCAGGCTCCACGTGGACTCCCTGCCCCTCACTCAGCCCCAGGCTCTGCCCCACTCCGTGGCCAGGCTCCGCGTGGACTCCCTGCCCCTCACTCAGCTCCAGGCTCCGCCCCACTCCATGGCCGGGCTCCACGTGGACTCCTTGCCCCTCACTCAGCCTCGGGCTCCACCCCACTCCGTGGTCGGGCTCTGAGTGGACTCCCTGGCTCTCATTCATCCCTGGGCTCCGCTCCACTCCATGGTCGGGCTCTGCATGGACTCCCAGCCCCTCATTCAGCCCCGGGCTCTGCCCCACACCGTGGCCGGGCTCCACGTAGACTCCCTGGCCCTCATTCAGCCCCGGGCTCTGCCCCACCCCATGGCAGGGCTCCAAGTGGACTCCCAGCCCCACATTCAGCCCTGGGCTCCGTCCCACTCCATGACCAGGCTCCACGTGGACTCTCTGGCCCTCTCTCAGCCCCGGGGTCCGCCCTACTCCATGGCCAGGCTCCCCGTGTACTCCCTGCAGCACACTTGGCACTGGGCTGCCCTCTGTTCCGTGGCTGGCTTCCATGTGGACTCTCTGATGCTGCAGAAGCCGCGAGGCCCGGCTGAAGCCACGGCCACACTGGGAGCAGTGGTGGGGACGCTCCCCCGTGTGCATGAGCTGGTGCCGGAGCAGGTCCGAGCGCCACAGGAAGCCCTTCCCACAGTCCCCACAGCTGTGGGGTTTATCTCCAGTGTGGTTCCTCTGGTGGGAGCTCAGCTTGGAGCGGCGGCTGAAACTCTTTCCGCAGGTGGCACACGTGTGGGGTGGCCCCCCTGCAGCTGCGCTCTGGGGCACAGTGATGTCCCGCAGGGGGCTGCCCCCTTGCCTCCCCGGCAGAGGGTCATAGCAGCTGTTCTTACCCTGCCTCCTCCGTGGAGTGTTCCTCCTCTCTGCCCGGTGCTGGCTCCCGCCAGCTCTGCCCTGCTCCGGGATCCAGGGAATGTTCTCTCCAGTGCTTCTCAGGAACGGCCCCTCTGGCTCCAGCATCCCTGCTATGCCTGGCTCCGGCATCTCCTGCTTTACAGCCCTCACAGCACTTCTCAGAAACGGCCCCTCCGGCTCCGGCATCCCTGCTATGCCTGGCTTGGGCATCTCCTGCTTTAAAGCCCTCACAGAGCTTCTCAGGAACGGCCCCTCCGGCTCCAATGTCTCCCGCTTTACAGCCCTCACTGTGCTTCTCAGGAACGGCCCCTCCGGTTCCAGCATCCCTGCTACGCCTGGCTCTTGCATCTCCTGCTTTACAGCCCTCACAGCACTTCTCAGGAACGGCCCTTCCGGCTCTGGCATCCCTGCTATGCCTGGCTCAGGCATCTCCTGCTTTAAAGCCCTCACAGCACTTCTCAGGAACGGCCCCTCCGGCTCTGGCATCCCTGCTATGCCTGGCTCAGGCATCTCCTGCTTTAAAGCCCTCACAGCACTTCTCAGGAACGGCCCCTCCGGCTCTGGCATCCCTGCTATGCCTGGCTCGGGCATCTCCTGCTTTAAAGCCCTCACAGAGCTTCTCAGGAACGGCCCCTCCGGCTCCGGCATCCCTGCTACGCCTGGCTTCGGCGTCTCCTGCTTTACAGCCTTCACAGAGCTTCTCAGGAACGGCCCCTGCGGCTCCAGCTTTACCGCTTCGTCACCTGCTGGGACACAGAATGCAACCAGAGGTGAGTCCCAGCCTCAACCGGGGGACCACCTGGGTGCAGCCAGGAGGGCGCATGCAATCTGCCCTCATGCGTAGTACAGGCCCGAGACCTGCCCAGAATCAATCCCGGTTTGTACCAGAGCAGCCCTTTAAGAGAACCATCCCATCTTGCCTGAAAAATTGTCAGTGATGGAGAATCCACCACCACTCCTGGTAAATGCTTTCAATGGTTAATTACTCACTGTCAAAAGGCACACCTTCTTTCCAGTCTGAACATGTCTAGCTTCAGCGTCCAGCCACTGGCTTGCGTTAGACCTTCGACTGCTAGACCACAGAGCCCATTATCAAATATTTGTTCCCCCTGCGTAGCTGTGTATAGACTGTGGTCAAGTCACCCCTGAACTTTCTCTTTGTTAAGCTACAGAGATCGAGCTCCAGGGATCTATCGCTGTAAGGCAGGTTTTCTATCCTTTCCTCAGTCTGGTGGGCTCTTCTCCAACCCCTCTCCAATTCATCAACCTCCTTCCTCAACTGTGGGCCCCAGAACTGGACCCAGCAGCGGTCGCCCCAGTGCCAAGTACCGAGGGCAAAGAACCTTGCTGCTCACTCACCACTGGGATCGCCGTAGGGCTGCAGCTCCAGCACCCACACGTTCTCCCCTTCCACCCAGGACGCCGGGTCCAGCAGGGGGACAGAGCATCCTTCTGGAGGAAGCAAAGAGGTGAGGTCAGGGAGACCTCCTGGGGATGGGAGGGTGGCACCACCCTGTGTCTGGGGGAGGTCACACTCCGTAGGAGCTACAGCCCCAGGGTGACTGTCATTGCCTGGAGGCTCCCGCTGCACCAGGGGAAGCCCTTGGGAGGCCAATTCCAACAGCCCCTCACCGATAGGGGCTGCACTTGGTGCCCCCTACTGAGCATCCCAAGGGATTTCCCCTTCCCTTATCCATCCCATGCGGCTCACACCCCAGTAGGCAGGGCTCCGGCACATCACCCCCTCCCTGGGGCAGACTCACCCGCAGCTCGCTGAGAGTCCCTTCCCCGAGCGGGCTCTGCCGCAGCCATGAGTGAGCCGGGTGGGCTCTGCAGCCTGCCAGGGTGAGAAGGGCAGTCAGTGGGGGAGCACTGGAGGGGGGGGTGCTTCTGCCCATTTGCTGCCCCTGGATCTGGTGTCTGTGTCGCTGGGGAAACATTCGGTCACTCTCTAGCCAACAGCCCTGGCAGCGGAAAAGAACTGGAGCGGCCAGTGCCCCCAGCGACAGAGTCTGAGGTGCCCCCAACCAGGCCCCGAGAAACCAACCAGCCAGGCCCCATCCCCAGAAACACAGCCCCCCACCTCTAGCCAGCCCCAGAGAGACACTCCCACCCACCCAGCCAGCCCCCCCCCCAACATTCTGATATTCCAACACCCACCCGACCCTATCACCACCCCAGACACTCAGCAACCTCCCGCCCCGACTGCCCAGTCCCCTACCCCACACCCAGCCCCTCTGCCCCAGACACCCAGCCCCCTCCCATGCTGTGCCAGCCCCGCACCTGCCCCAAACATCCAGCTTTCCACACCCTGCACCCGCCCCCCAGTTCCCCCATGCTGCACCCAGCCTGCCGAGCCCCCCACACTACACCACGTCCCCAACCCCCCCACACTGCACCCATGGCCCCTGCCCAACCCCCCCATGCTGCACCCAGCCCCCACACTATGCCTAGCCCACAGACACCGAGAC